TATATTGTTACTTTTTGTCAGGTAAGCATTACATTCGAGATTAATGACCTAAGCTTTAACGGAATCTTTTCTTGTTTTTTTTAATAATGCTCCATCTTGTACATTCTATATATGTAAGTTGTTCTGACCAGCTCCATGAATGCTGAATTGAGAAAGTTTATGGTTTTATTAAAGCAGATGAAATTTGCAGATATTTTCCCCATTTTTTCAGTCATGGCGAATTCATTAAATGTTGCGATGAACCTCTAAAACCTAAAGAAATGTTGTTTATTTCTAGATTTTCCTGGATTAAGCATTATTTTTTATGTTAATAGAAGACCTACATTTTCTACTATCGTGAGAAATATTCATATTATTTTCACCAACATTGCCTGTATTCAGATCAAACCAACAATTATTTAATAAAACACACATTTTGGGGGGAAAGAGAAAAATGAATCTATAGGATATTGTAATAAATGTAGACATACTATACAAGCAAAATGGAATGAAAAGACTAAAAGAAGATTAAAAAAGGGGTCAATGGTGGACCCAGTGAGGAGCTGCAGTTTACTATTGTCCATAGAAATAAATATCTGGGCTTTTTCTTGGTTGTTCAGATCGGTGACAAAAACTCCCTTTTATACCACCCACTTCCCTGGTCTGGGAGGTCAGCTCCCAAGAACGTCCCCCACCTGAGAGAGGAAGACTGAGGAGGATGTCGGGTATTAAATCACTTCCTCCCGAGGATCTGAATATAGTCGTGAGTCGCTTTGGAGAGGATGTTTACAAAGCGGGCCGCTCGGCTGACACAATAGGGACGGCTTGGCGAATGTTTTTAAGATGACGGCAAGCATTGTGCTGAGAGGCATTCTGTCTTTCTCTCAGTCTCCGTGTGTAGCTCGCGTTGGCCCTTTTGTCGTGCTGCATTGTCCCGTTGCATACTGTGCAAAAAAACCAGTTGGGGAACGGTTGCCGCCTCGGTCCGGTCTGTGACTGGACAAGAAAGTGCAGCAGGTTAGCAACCCCTCTTCAAAAGGCCTGCAGCTTGACATTTATGTGGAAGTCCACAGAAAAAAGCACATCTCCCTCCCGCCGGGACACACACATATGGTACAGTAGTTCAGACCTGGTAACAGGTGTTTCAGGTTATCCGTGGAAAATGGACCTCTGGTTCATTCAGGTTTATTTCCTTTTACGCGAGAAAAAAAAAGTAAGGAGGACGTAAGACAAACACAGTTGTTTGGGGTTTTGCGTGTCATGTTTTATGAACGTTAACGGGGGCTCCTCCATTCACCGATGTGCAAAACAAAACCCCTCAGTGACCACCATCCATCACAGGGGTGAATCTGTCCGACGCATGGGAACAGGATGGAAAAATCCCAGATTTCAAGCACATCCTCATGTCTGGTCATTTTTTGTGCCGCACGGCTTTATCTTTGACATTTTTCATTGGAAAAACCTCATTTGACCTTATTTCTTTAATGCAAACCATTTCCACAAAAGTTTGCATGCTGTATGGAATATTGGCACAAACACAAACAGCAAATGACAGTTTTTCAACCAAGAGTCGACATATCGAATGTTGAAAATGCTCATTTTGAAGATATCATGCAGGCAACATCCAGAAGATACTTTTTAAAGTGAAAGTCCTGTGTCATTTTCTCCCTCCTTGGATTTTTCTTGATTTTCTTATTTTGTCCTCATTGTTCCACATATGAGGCTTTTTATCAAATTCTGAAATTCAGTTTAACCATGCTCTGGTTCAGACCTCCACCTCTTTGTAGCACCTTTAGTTATAAAAAGCTATCATTTGCTCAACATCCCACTTTTGTCTACAAAAAAGGTTTGGATATTTATTTTTTAAATGACCAAGTGATGTAAACTCAGCTTGGATGAAATTGGATGAACTGAAGCCTCAAGAGCCTTCTGGACAGCGCGAAAATGACCAGGGAGTGTCGATGCAACAGTCAAGAAAGAAGCCGTTCCAGTTCTCAAAACACTGAGGGAAGGATTTCTAATATTTGAATTTTCTTTAAGCGTAGAACATGTTCAGCCATCCTTTTTAAGAGACAGGAAACAGTCCATCCCACAATTCTTTGCTTAACTTTTATAGCAACGCTTTTCTATCCTGTCACGCTTTATATGTAACATGTGGATAAATGTGAGGACAGGAAGATGAGTTTGAGTGGCACATAAAATCATAAATCTTTCCTCACACCGGCCGGTGTGCTCCTGTTACAGCAGTGCCACCGTCAGGAGGAACTGTCCCACCAAAGTCTCCTCACTTCTTTTAAGAGATTCAGTCATATTCGTTCAAGCAAATCCAAGGCAATCCAAGGTCCTCTCAATTAATCCAAAACTTTGGATTAATACAGACTTAAGTTCGGGAAGCTTTCTGATGTCGAAAAATATCTATTTATGATTCAAGAGCACGTTTTTACTCCAATTTGTAATGATCATTTTAGTTGTGAATTTATTTCAAAGAACATAATTCAGTAAAGTCAATTCAATTTAAAAACTGATAAAAATAAACAGAATAAGACAGAACTGAGAAGAAAACATTTTTTTTTCTTTTTTATATTACCAAAGTGTTGAAACTAAGTGATTATTCAAGTGATTGAAATTGATACTGTTCTTTTTGTGTTAGATCCTTTTTCAAAATCCCCACCTTACTTATCAGAAAGGCAATCCACTTTATTTGTAGAATGGAACCATATTCCTATTCTCAAATACAATTTAAAGTGTTCAGTCAACTCTGGATTCATTGAAAAAAATGACAATTTGAAACTTTCAAATAGAATTTAAAAAGAAAGAAAATCTGGCATCAGTAGTTTTTTCTTTACATATTTGGTTTATTCTATAGAGTTTTACAACTTAAAATCTCATTAAATATTTAGGTCAGCATTTTCCGTTTTTACAGCAGTGAAAGTGTTGATAGTTTTTGTACGGAGGTTAATGAGAATTCTACTTCCCAGTGAACACAAGTTTTGCTGCTTAAACAGAAACCAGTTTGAAGTCACATGCAGTGTTCTCCTCCTTGTGGTGGAGAGGGGGAAAAAGTAGTAAAAGTAGTAACAAAAACAGCACTCAGTGGAGGATTTATCTTTAGATATAGATTTCCAAATATGTTCCCAATCAGTCCTGTGACGTTCCCCTAATCTTCTTTTGGTATGTTTTCTCATTGTTTAGTCACAGGAATGTGCTTTGGCTCTTTGACTGATTATCCAGCCCAAGCTGCCACAATGTGGGGGTTCAGATGAAGCGTGAGATGAGGTGAACGGAGGGGGAGGGGGGGGGGTCAGTGCGTGGTGGCAATGCCCTCTGTTTATAGTGGGATTAGAGGCTGACCTGCCCCTTCTGTTAACCCCGTCCTTTTCTGTGACCACAAGGGCTTTCAGCATCAGAGAAATGAGTGAAACAAGGGCAGAGACAAAATCTCCAATCAGGCACTGGTCTGTAACAGCCGAGTCATCACAATGACACGCACGCTCGGCAGAGAAAGTTACTCTTTCCCACTTGATGACCATTGAGAAGGTGCTCAGATTTGAAAATACTAAAAAACCACCAAGACATAGTGTTTAAATGCGTCTCAACATTTAACTCTTACCTGTTTACCTATCTGAGTGATGAAGTCAAATCAATGTACTCATCAGGGACAGAGTGACAGCCAATGAGAAGAGAATCCTGTCCACACATAAATTACATGAGAATAAACAGCCATGTTCGGCATCGTTATTATTATTATTATGATTTCTAAAACTAAACTTCAAATACCTCAATTTAATTTTTTTAAACTGCTGTATTTGCCATGCTATGATACGTTTCTGCGAAATCTTTAGCAGATGCTTGTGTTCCCTACAGTATAAAGCAAGACTGTCTGATATTTCATCTGCTGTCATCCAAAGGAAGGCGTTTTTGAGTTTAAGGAAACCCTCTGATGTGAGATGGACGGCCGTGAAATTGAGTTCAGATGACTCTGATCATTCTGAGACTTTCTACCTGTAACACCACCAGCCAATCAGAGATTTGTCTGAATATGACACACCCAGGCTCAAATGATCTACAACAAACTTGTAATCATAACACTAATCCAAAAACTGCAAATCTGACTGACTTTGGCCCCTTGTCTGACTATACTCTAGCTCCCCCATGTGGCTGATATCTGTGTTACCTCTAGATTCAGGTCTTTGGGCCATTAGTTAATTTACAGTAGTTAGGTTTTAATAGTTTTTTCCTAAGCTTTGCTTTAAGATCAAATAAGATGGAATTTCAGAAGTTTCTATCTCAGGTGAGTGCTAACGAGCTATAAGCACTGCCCCAAAATTGCATGAATACAAACATACATTACACTACACATAGCCCCAAAACCTGCACATATTTGAGAGGGCTTCATCTCCATCAAATTCTACACAGAGTTAAGGATCACACTTTTATTTAGAAAGTCAAAAAAGACAAAAACTTAGTTCAAGGTTTACAACAGATAAAATATACAATGTTCCCTTTACATTTGTAAATGCTTGTACAATCCATACTATAAATTTAGAAAAAAAAAATTGTGGCTATGCTTTCATATGCCCCATGTTAAAAATAAAAATCATTTAAACAAATCTGCAGTCTTTTTAAAAATGTGTTTCATTGGAAACTATCAAGACGTCTGTGAAGTCAAGAAGTCATCTATGTGCTTGTACTGTTGCAAACATATAACACAGGATTGAGAATTTAAAAAAAATATTTTTTGTAAGCTTTCTCTTACAACATAAAGACGGGATACTATATTTTCTTTATATCTCGCGAGATTCCAACGTTATTCCTATCTCTATCAGAAAAAAAGTGATAGTAATATAGAGTGAGTCTGTTCTCCCTTATTAAGAGGAATTTTTAGTCTGCATTACAAATTAGCAGGAAATACTTAACATAGTAATAATTTCTGGTCATCAGAGGAGAAACTATTAAGTTATCACTCAATAGATATTAAACATAGCGGAAGGAACTAAAAAGTAGAAGCACCTCTGGACCCTGACGTCATGCCCATGACAACCACAGCGCTTCCTGTGCGAGCTGCACTCTAGGTGTTCACTCAGAGGCTGTGGCAGAAAGTCTGGCACAAAGTTTCTTCGGGTGGCATCATGATGCCGAGGAAGCGACACGTCTTTCTGCTGTGGCTGTTTGTCTGCTCCAGCATGACAGAGGCCATAGAGCCCATCAGTACGACCATAGCGGTCGGCATGGCTGCGGCTCTCACGGGGTTTTTAGCTAGCTACCAAAATATTTTCTATTACTTCCACGAGTGCTGTCGACCAGAGTGGATTTCTTTAAACAAAACAGGTAAGAACCATACTAAACACACGAGCCTCTGTAGTTGGTTGATAGGTTGAGTCGTGAGCACAGTTAAGTAGCTTAAAAAATACTAAATAACACACTATTGTCTTCTAGCTAAGTTACTGCTCATGCTGCAAAGTAAACCTTTCAGACACACGTTTAAATGTCTTTACCGGGTAAAAAGTTACGTGTAACGGTTACAATCAAACGGTTTAGCATCACTTTCAAGCTGGGTGTTGTGTTTAACAAGGCCCTGCCAGTATCGCGTGGTTATGACGTATGAGGAAGTTCCCCGTTGTAAAGCAATAAGCTAGTTTGTACGAGGCTTTAGCGCGGTTCGGTCTTGCACTTGTATTTATTTTCCCTCGTGAAAAAAAGACCCATGTTGAAAAGAGCAGTTCGCTTCTACGATGAAATTGGCATACGTATATTTGTTGTTGCACATTTTCATGACAGTCGGTGTGCTGGTAAACGGGTTTGATCCCTTCACAACAACCGTCGCAGTCGGTCTCTGTGCCACGGTTGGGCGGACGATTTACAATCATTTTCACGAGAGTTGCGAGCCGAAATGGATGACCTACAATTCAACAGGTGAACGAAAACCTGCCTCTTATCCATTTACAGTTACCGCCAAGACGTCGGAGAACCCGTGACTTGAGTACCTTGTTTTTCTTTGAAATCAAACAAATCAACGGCACAGTATGCGGAAAATGCTTTCAGCAGCTGTTTTAACATTTGGTTAAACGGTTAAGATCTATTTCAGGTACCTGTAGGACGGATTCAGCTGTTATAATCACAAATAGTTCGACTTCTTTCACCCTTAAAGATGCATTGAATGACGAAAGCGTTAATAACATGACAAAGAGGCTGCGTGTGGAAAACGATCACAATGGCTAAAGTCTAAAGTATCGTTTCAGCCGAAATGTAGAATATGAATGTGGGTAATCTGGCTCTGCAGGGTTATCTATAAGGAAGAACTGGTACTGATTTACTGTCACCACTGGTTTAAAAGTCTCCGTGGTCTTATCCAATATGGTTTCAGTTTTGTGAACTGGTTTATCCATCTTCCTGGCCCTGCTTACCCCCAATACAGTTTGTAAAATATTATTAAATTCCTGTTAGACTACCTTTAAAATGTAATTCCACCCCCTCAGTCGATTCAGGAGTATTGAAGTATCTGTGCGTTTTGCTTTCACACGCCACCAGCCTAAAAACATTCACACAGCCCAAAAATAATGTATGATTAGAGTGTTCACACCTCACACTTTGTTCAGAACTTGCAAATGGGCTTTTGGTCATTTTGATTCAATCAGTCTCAGTCACGTATTCACTTGTTCTTTAATGCTTTTTTTAAGGATTTATTTACAAATGTTTAAAATAACGTAATGATATGTATGCAACTAAATCGTCATAATGTTGTCATAATTTGTTAACTTTGTATTCCTGTTTAAATTTATATTATATGCATTAACGTCTTACAAACTTTTTGAACATTAAACTCTGTGTTTGTGTTAAGGTGTGCATTTTCATTGAGGTGCAAACCTTTGTAAATCCTACATTTTGGAAATAGTATGCCAATGTTGGATAAAGCTGTAGCTCTGCGCACCGTGTTGGAGGCATTTCAGTCATGTGTCTGGAACCGCTAATCCCACTGACATTTACTCTCTAGGTCTAAGAACCGACCTGGAAGAAAAGCTTTTTGGACAGCACATTGCGTCCCGCATCATTTTAAAGGCCGTGAACGGATTCATGAACAATGAAAGCCCGAAGAAGCCCCTGGTGCTCTCTCTGCACGGCTGGACCGGGACCGGAAAGAACTTTGTTAGCAAGCTTATTGCTGAGAACATTTACAAAGAGGGCCTGAACAGCAAGTTTGTGCACGTGTTCGCCTCCACTCTTCACTTCCCGCATCAGGGTCAACTTGCCACCTACAAGGTATGAAAACGCACGAATGTTCCGGAAACCCGGGGCCTTGTCTGGTTCTGTCTCCTGAGTGAGTTCACCGCGCTGCCGTCTTTTCTCAGTCGCAGTTACAGCATTGGATCAAAGGCAACGTCTCCAACTGTGAGCGCTCCATGTTCATCTTTGACGAGATGGACAAGATGCACCCCGGTCTGATCGACAGCATCAAGCCATACCTGGACTACTACGACAAGCTGGAGGGGGTGTCTTACCGGAAATCAATCTTCATTTTCCTAAGGTGAAAATCCGGGAACGTTTCATAGACTGTGTTCCTATTTAGAATTAATTCTAATGTAAAGCCAGAAAAAGAACTTACTAAACTTAAGAGTAAGAAAGTATCCGGCACCCCTTTGGTCATAAAAATAAAGATTCTAAAATATTTGATATGATTTTTTTTTCTTCTGCTTAGTAACGCTGGAGGGGACAGCATCATACAGACGGCTTTAGATTTCTGGAGAGCCGGAAGGAGTCGAGACGAGATCGAGCTGAAGGATTTGGAGACATCCCTCTCACTGTCTGTCTTCAACAACCAAAAAAGTGCGTGTTGACCGGGAAAGCGGCCGTTTAGACGCGGTTCCCTCGGACCTGTTGAGTCACTGCAAGTGTCTGCTTCTCTTCTTCCCCTAGGTGGCTTCTTTCACACCAGCCTGATCGATAAGAACCTGGTGGACTTCTTCGTCCCGTTCCTGCCTCTGGAGTACCAGCACGTGGTCCAGTGCACCATGTCCGAAATGAAACACAGAGACCAGAAGCCTGACCGCGACGTGGCCGACCAGGTGGCCAGAGATCTGGTCTATTTCCCCAAATCTGAGAGGGTGTTCTCCGTCAAAGGCTGCAAGACGATAGAGAGCAAACTGGACTACTATACATAATGTCAACATCTGGAAGACCTGATGTGTAGTCACTATGTGCACTTTTTTTAAAAAGAACAAAAAGAAAAGAAAAGAAAGGAACTCTCGCAGCCAGATGACTAAAGACTTAAGAGGACTCTGTTTGACCGTGTGGCCATCGACATGATATCAGGAGGCCCTCTCCAGTGCTGCGTCTCACTTACACTGAAGGACGGCCGACGAAGAGCTCAGCGCCAGCTGAATGAAAAATTAAACCGATTGGAACACAGTCCTTTAAGCTTAAGGAACTTTACGTCTACTTTCCTATCACAAACGTCTCTTAGGTGGTTTGGCTTTTCTGACAGCTGTTGAAACTCTTTCTTTTTTCTTAACGTGCGCTGCACGAACGGGACTCCCGGGAAGCCACCGCCTTAACGCTTCTTTTCAGAACTTTTGTATTTGTTTTTACAGACATGCAGGCAGAGCTGATCATGGAAAACTCATAAAAAGCTTCTAAAATGTGCCATATGTCATGAAATATTGCAAATTGTTAGCTCGTGGGGGGGAATATGACAGGACCTTAATGATCCTCTTACACTCGAGTTGAGATGACTCAACTTTGTACATGTTTAAGGAAAAAAAAAAAAGCTTTTTAATTGGATTGTACCCGACTGTTAGATTATGATTTTAAGTTTTTTTTTAATGTAATTTTCAGTATCCGATGTGGAACTTTAATGCTCCGTCGGTTTGTCGTCATCTCAGTTTGCCGTTTGGTTCTGAAAGCCCCATAAAACAACATGAAAGCCTGTAGAAATGCTCCCGGTTACCTCAAAACTGTGAACTGTCACCATTATTGTGGATGTAAAGCTGACATTGGCAAATTTCATGGCTGTAAGCACCACCAGAAGCGCCAACAGTGAATTAAAAGAGATGGACTTTTCTTGGTGTCACTGTTTCTGCACCGCAAAGCGGAGCTCCCTTGGTCCCGACTGTTTGGGCCACGCGTGCCAGCGTCTTTAGAAAAGTGCAGGTGATGAAAGAGCTTGGCCTGGAAAAGGAGTTGTGCAATGTTCAAACAGCTGGCAGAGCGTGCACATCTGTGCAAAGTGCAATGTGATTTCAAATCCAGAGGCGTATCAAACAGCTGGTCAGGACCTGCTGCAGGCAGGCTCACAGTTTAGAAAGTTCAACATTCATTTGAATCACACCAGCTGATCTCAGGTTGAAGGCCGTTCCATTTGTAAGTTTGAACACCGAAGTTTGCACCGAATGCCAAAAGCAGGAAAAGGAAGATGCTCGTTTATGAAATCCTGGTAAATGTTTGTGTAAGAGGTCACGCCCTTTCCAGCATGGTCAGATAAGTGTGATTATGTTGTTGGCACAGACTGAGTAGGGCTGTGGATTTTCTTTTTCTTTTCAGTCTAATATTACAGAAAAACCATCATCCTGATCTGAAAAAATGATATCTGGACCTGGGTTTGGAGTGTTAGATAATGTAGTTTATATGCTGAGAGAAGAAGCTCAAAGCTGCTCTCAGCCTCCAGTCTTAGACTTATGAAGGAGGTGGATTTTATATTTAGCTGCTGGTATAAAAAAAAAAAAAGTTAATCCACTACATAAAGTTTACTTTGAGCCAATTGCTGTTTCCTGTACGTATCACTATATTTGTTCTGGATGTATGAATTCATTAACATGCGTTACTAAAACAAACAAAAGAATAAATCCATTTACAGCCTCATGAACCAGTCTAGTCCTGCTTTCCTCTGTGAGGTCACAGGACGACCAGTCATTGTGTGCTTACAAGTAAATTAATACAAAAATTAGGTGAAATTTCAAGTTTATTTGTATCAAACTTGACAGTAAATCATATTTCCTCCAAGTGTCCTTTTAGTTACAAAAACGTCCCGAGCGCAGCTTCACGTTCTTCCTGGCAGTCCGGTGAAAGCAAAGCCACTGCTGTTGGGTCTGATGTGTCCACACTCTTGATATAAATTAAGAGACGCCTTAAACCAGCAGAACTGCATTAATGCATCCGTCATTCTCTGGGTTATTTGTCACCTGGGCATATTTTCCTGAAAAGTGAGAGAGATTTATTAATTCCTCAGTAATAGGTGAATAATTACCACTATTGCACAGATTTTTATTTTTCTTCCTGCAGGTCTGCTGGTTTCACAAATATGATCTTTGGAAATATTTTAAACAAAAATTACGTCAACCCTACTCAGAAATCAGCACCTATCTTAACAGGCCTTTATACAAAATGTGTAAGAAGAGCATGAAATAACCGCAAGATTTGAAGACTCACCCCAGATAACTTTTCCTCCCTGTGTAACCAGGCCCAGCTCGCTGACATTAACCTCGACCACTGTTCCTTTTGTGATGACTCCCAGAGACGTGTAGAGGGGGGAGGAAGGGTTCTTCTTCACTCCCAGGATGGGAAGGCAGAATGTTGCTTTTAGCTCAGGATGTGTGACGTGAGCTTTCTTGAACCGTAAACCCTGTAAAACAGAAGGAGGAGGGGTTTCAATTAACGACACTTCAGTTTCACCACCCACTCTCGTCGTGTGAAGTGCCGTCTTACCATGGGTCTGATGAAACGCTCATATTTCGGAGGTTTACGGGTGAAGCCGTCGCCAACAAAGCAAACTTTGGTGACCATCCTCTTCCAGGCTTTCTTTTGCCTCTTTCCAGTTTTGATGACTTTAAGGACTTCTGTCTCTCCTTGGGCTCGGACCTTTGGCAGGGGCACCTCCCATTTTCCCTGCAGAAACGATCAAATGTTTGTGACGTGAAACATATGTTTTCTTTGTGTAAATGTCACTAAAAGGTGGGTTTCTGCTGAGACGTACAGCCTTCTCTTTCCTCTTCTGTTTGATCATGTTGGAAAGGACTTTAGCACGCGACTGGCCTTCTCTGTCCAACAGGTATGCTGGGACTGCTCCCTCTGGGGTCTTGTCATCATCCTTCTGCCTGGTCTTTCTCTGTTCATGCATCTTGATGCTGGAAACACACAGTACACACTTGTTCACATGTGTACCAGGAATAGATTAAAACGACCAAGACATTTACACCATACTCACGTTTTCTTCATCTGGATCTTCTCTGCATGTCTTTGCTTGTGGTAGAGTTTGGCCTTCAAACCGATCAACTTTCTGGCTTTGTGCGACCGCTCGTGAGCCTCTCGGCTCTCCTTCTTCCTTTTCTTTTCATGATGGTCCAGGCGGTAGCCATGCCGCTTGCGGTGTAACTCAATATGCTCGTTCTGGGGCTACAAAACCATAAAAAACAAAAACTTAGGATTTAGTTAACCTTAATAGAAGAGTTCAATGAAAGCACATAATTGGTCTTGTGTTAAATGATTTATCTTTCCATTTCAAAGACAAAACCTTTGCAGTGCTCTTTAGCCTGGAAAGTTGCCAGATAAGTGCAGAATATTTTGGGAAATAAGAAACCAAAGTTTACTTACATGATAGTAAAAACCAAATGTATTTATTTTGTCTCTACAGTCCCAGTTTCCTTAAGTAGAATAATAATTTTCTTTCCACTTTCCCTTCATGTTTTTATTGTACTGTAGTTTGCATGCCAGAAGTCAAATTTCAGTCAAATCTTTGATCAGCAGACTTTTTGCATGCAACTGCTTAACATCTTAACAACAGCTTGAAGTGGAAAAAACTTCTTAATTATAGAAAATTCAACCACAAATATCAAACAAATGATTTTTTTTATCCAAGATGGTCTCATAGCTCACACCTAGCTAACTAATCTCATATATAAACAGAAAATAACATTGTTCAAATTAGCTATTACCATGACAACAGTCTGCTAAAAGTTATGGATTAGATTAAAAAAAAAAAAAATCCATGACAAGGACGTGGATCTGAACGTTTTAATACTCGAGTCATTCTTTGATTCTAATTTTCAATAATATTCAAAAGACAAAAATAAATATGAAAAGCTTACTCTGCAGTCCTTCGAGTCAGTTCTGATTGTTTAAACTTTAACCAAAGCCATACAGTTATTATTGTATTTTATCAAAGACAGATGTTTTCGTGGACCATACACAATGCAACATCCTATTAGGACAGGATATGCCGGAAAGTCCACAGTTAAAAGTTCAGATACTACTCAT